TATCTATCTATCTATCTATCTATCTATCTATCTATCTATCTATCTATCTATCTATAGCGTAACTCTGGAACGCCTCGAGCAATTTCAACCAAACTTGGTACACAGATGACTTACTCTCTGGAAACAAATACCGTGGGGGTAAGACACCCCTTGTGGGGGGGTTCTTAAGATACAGTTTGTTGTGCCTTCAAATGGCTTCTAATGTGTTTCCTTAAAATGGCTTCTACTGCACAGCGCTGTCGAGTTGCCATGCTAATGGCTTCACAGTACCCCCACAAGGGGGCTCTCTCTGGTAAGGGGGAAAGTCCAACATTACAGATTACATTTGTTCCGGATTGCCGAAATCAGGGCTGTCTAATCCCGTCTAATACAAGAATTAGGATAGATAAATACCTGGGCAACGCCGAGTTATCGGCTAGTCATTCTATAAATTTGCTTCTCTCCTGCCTTACAGTACTCTGCTTGCTGGTTGTTGTTAGTCTTATCTGCATCTTTCTCCTCCTTTTTTTTTAAAGAAATATATTTTGCTGTGGTGGTGGTTGAGTTTGTTTCCTGCTATCCCCCACCCCCTCTGGAAGGAAGGAAGGAAAGTGGGCTGGAGGGAGGGAATAAAACCACATTCAGAGGGGTTTATTCCCCCCCCCCCCCGGCTCCATCAACCTTGACCCATTCTTCTCTCATTGCTGCTGAAAGTTAATGGACCCCAAATTGCATTCCCCAAATATTGGGGAGTGGGAGGGGGGGAGGCAGGAAAGTAGCCAAACCCAAACCTAGTTGATCTCCGGTGATCGGTTCAATTGAGTGGCCATTTTTAGCCATTATTCCTGGCCGAAGCGGTGGTGATTTGGTGGACAGATCTGTATGTGTGGTGTGTGTGTGTGTGTGGAATTGGCTGTTTGATAAGAGCCCAGTTATCAGTGGGGGATACTTCCTCATTTACATTTAGATGAGTATTGATTATTTATTTACTCCGAGAAGAGGAGAGTCATTCCCAATCTTATCTTTCTTGTCTGGGGCTTGTCAGCAGAAAGAGAGATAGAGCTCCTGACATCAGGCCTGCAGATAACATGGCGCTTTTATTTTAGCAGAGATAAAAGTTGGAATTGGGGCTTTTTTCTCGCCTTGACTGAAAAGGAGAAGTTTTAAAAATTAGAACTGATGGGTCTGGCTTTTCAAAAGGCCATCTGGAGGCTTTGCAATTTTGCTGGCAGGCAAAGATGGCTCCTCAGAGTAATGGAGGAGGGGGAAGGAGAGGGAGGGAGAGAAAGAGAGAGAGAGAGAGAGAGAGAGAGAGAGAGAGAAAGAAGAAAGAAAGAAAGAAAGAAAGAAAGAAAGAAAGAAAGAAAGAAAGCAGACACAGAAACACACACATCTTCCCCTGTCCCACTTTTGTTGAGCTTGTTTGGGTTCCAACAGGAAAAAACATTTCATTGTTGTTGTTTGTGAGATTTTGCACGAGACCCTGTTAACCATCGTGGGTCCCGTTTGATCCATTAAAATAATAATAATAATAATCTGAAGTCCTTGGTGCTCTCTGAACTTGGTGGTTTCCTTGCAGACGTTTCATTACCAAACTAGGTAACATCATCAGTGTCACTAGCCCTGACTTAGCACTGATGATGTTTCCTAGTTTGGGACATGAAATTGTATGCAAGGAAACCACCAAGCTCAGAGAGCACCAAGGATCCTACCGTCTTCCTCCTCTTCCACCAACACCAACACCTCCTCCTCCTTCAAACCCAACTCCCTTCCAGCACTGATGGTATTACCTAGTTGGGTCATGAAATGTCTGCAAGAAAATATTTAAAAATATTTTGTTTTTTTAAAAAGGCAACTGGCCTGTGAGGAAGGGAGGAGAAAACAAATACGTCCCTTTATTGGTCATTAAAACCATTCCAGCTGTTAAAAGGGATGCTTTTACATTTTTAAGAGGCCAGACCTGCAGGCCCCACGGCGCACTGGGGGGGCTACTGGTTTTTCAAACCGTAATTTAAAGGGTCCCGACCTAAGTGAGCAGGGGGAATGCTTGAATGGGCCAAGCGAAGGCTTTATTTCCATGCGCTGTGTGTGTCTGTTTGAAGCAGAAATAAAGGTTGTGAAACACACACACCGTTCATTACGAAGCGGCTGATTGAGTTAGGGGTGTGTTCCTTTAAGCACAATTGTTCAGTTGTGTAGTGTGACTCCCTCCGAAGGCCATCTGTTGCGAGACCAGAAGTCTTCCTTGAGTTATTAGTTGATTGGCCGCTGGGAGAACAGACCGTCTGACTAAAAAAGCCAAGGGCCCCATCCAACAAACCATGGCTTATGTTCTACCCTCCAAGGCCCGATACAGCCACCTCCCCCGTCCATCTGGGGCGATGGATTTTATTTTTTTAAAACTTTTTCACCCGATAGGAAATAAAAGCGGTTAAAGACACACCAAGCCGTCATTTCAACCCGTATTTAATTAGTGGGGCTTTCCTTTAATGACACTTCAACGTAAAGTAAATCAAGCCAAATGGAGGTCAGCTGGGGATGATTTTTGACCAACATTGGATCTCAGCAGTGTCTTTTTTAAAAAAAAATCTCACCGAAGGAAGTGGGGCCGTTTTTGGGATTAGTCACCCCTAGGAAGGATTCTTTTGTAGAAATCAGCCTTAAAATAAACTCTGTATGTTGCATGGCTGGAATACGGATAGTGGAGCCAAAATTAATGTACAGAAGCTTACCAGGGGAAAAATCCAACCTAGAACTAAGGAGAAATGTCTTTAATTTGTAAGAATAATTAACCAGAGGTTTTTAAGAAGATACTGGACATCCATTTGGCCAGAGTAGTAGAAAATCTCTTGCCTGGGGCAGGGGATTAGACCTCCAAGGGGATTAGACCTCCCTTCCAACCCTATCATTCCTATTCTATTCTGTTCCTTATTATTCTATTCTATTCTATTCTATTCTATTCTATTCTATTCTATTCTA